TGGCATACATATTAGTCAAATTACCAAGAAATTGCCATAGAAGGCTGAAAACAGAAACAGAAAACAGAAGTAGAAAACAGAAAATGCCAAAATTCTACAGGAAAAAGTTTCTCATACAATAAATATGATAGTTCTCATCTGATTAGTTGCTTTCCAAGAACGGACACCTTTCAAAGGAACCAAACTGACTGCAATTCTGAGCCATGACAAAGTATTTTGATAGAAAACTAACCTCGATTTTTGCAAGACCAATTAACCTCCTAAGGATTTTTGTTTCAGTAGACTAACGCTGATTTAAAAGTCACAAATTTCTCCTGCAGATATTGTACATGCAGGGAAACAATGTGTTATACTCAGCTGAGGGTAAGGAGTGCCATTATCTACTCCTAACACTGCCACTAATAAGCTCTAATAAACTACAATTCTGAAATTTTCCCCAAATATACCTTACTCACTCCTCAAGATCCAGCTTAAATGGCATATCATCAATAAATCCTTATCTTTGCTCTTTACCAAAGTCACATTTATACTTTTTTTTTTTTGAGATGGAGTTTTGCTCTTTTGCCCAGGCTGGAGTGCAGTGGTGTGATCTCCGCTCACTACAACCTTCACTTTCTGGGTTCAAGCAATTCTCCTGCCTCAGCCTCCTGAGTACCTGGGATTACAGAAACATTTCACCACAGCCAGCTAATTTTTTGTACTTTTAGTAGAGATGGGGTTTCATCATGTTGGCCAGGCTGCTCTCAAATCCTGACCTCAGGTGATCCAACCACCTTGGCTTCCCAAAGTGCAGGGATTACAGGCATGTGCCACCATGCCTGGCTAATAGTCTTTTTTTTTTTTCTTTTTTTTTGGCAGGGTGCAGAGGCTCATACCTATAATCTCAGCACTTTGGGGGGCCAAGGATTGCTTGAGCTCAGGAGTGGGAGAACAGCCTGGGCAACATGGTGAGACCCCCATCTCTACTAAAAATACAAAAACATGTCGGGCGTAGTCCTGCACACCTGTGGTCCCAACTACTCAGGAGGCTGAGGTGGGAGGATCGCTTGAGCCCAGGAGGCAGAAGTTGCAGTGAGCCGACACGGTGCCACTGCACTCCAGCCTGGGTGATAAGAGTGAGATCCTGTTTCAAAAAATAAAATACTAATCCTTTGTTATTGCAATTACCATTTTGATCCTGTACTGAAGTTATTTTAGCTGGGCGAGGCAGCTCATGCCTATAATCCCAGCACTTTGGGAGGCCACGGATTGCTTGAGCTCAGGAGTGGGAGAATAGCCTGGGCAACATGGTGAAACTCCATCTGTACGAAAAGTATAAAACTTTGCCAGGCATGTTGACAGGTAGGTGCCTGTTATCCCAGCTACCTGAGAGGCTGAGGCAAGAGAATCACTTGAACCCAGGAGACAGAGGTTGCAGTGAGCTGAGATCATGGCACTGCACTCCAATCTAGATGACAAAGGGAGACTGTCTCAAAAAAAAAAAATTGCTTAAGGGCAGGGTCCCATGGTATAACTGTGTGATCCCTACAGCCTAACATTACAGCAAACTTAAAGGACAGTCCAGGCAGAGCAAAGCCCTCAGCCTATTCTCTAGAGAGATTTTGGACAGAGTATGGCGAAGAAGCCACCAGGCATTCAGCATTGTGCTTAGTGTGATCCACAGAGTGGCTTTTACAGTATAGTGTAATATAATAAAGCCTATTCTAACCAAACTGTTAATTACTTTTAATAAAAGCAAGCTCTCTTTTATTTTATTTTTATTTTTTAATCTTTTTTTTAATTTTTTTTTTTTTTTTAATAGACGGGGCTTCACCACGTTGGTCAGGCTGGTCTTGAACTCCCGACCTCAGGTGATCCACCCACCTTGGCCTTCAAAGTGCTTGGATTACAGGCATGAGCCACCAAGCCTGGCCTCTTTTTAAATATTTTATCAAAAGATGTATCAATATTTTCAATAATTCTGGATAGATTTTTGTGGTATATAAGCAAAAATGGGTGAACAGAACTTATATTCCCACAAACTCTAAAACTGTATGGCCCTAGTCTCAAAAGGTGTGCAACTAGAAATCTTTTTTTTTTTTTTTTTTGAGAGGGAGTCTCACTCTGTTGCCAGGCTGTAGTGCATGGCTCACTTACAATCTCTACCTCCTGGGTTAAACCATTCTCCTGCCTCAGCTTCCCAAGTAGGTGGGATTACAGGCACCTGCAACCACACCTGGCTAATTTTTGTAAGTAGTGTGGGGGGGGCGTGGTTCACCATGTTGGTCAGGCTGGTCTCTAACTCCTGACCTCAGGTGATCCACCCGCCTCAGCCTTCCAAAGTGCTGGGACTACAGGCGTGAGCCACTGGAACCAGCAAAAATATGGCCTCATATTTTTGAGAAATTAATACTCAATTTCTACTTAAACGTTTTTAGTAAAATTTCCAACCCTATAAAGAAAGTAGCAACAGAACCCCAATCATTAATGAGAATATATCCCCATGACAACAGAGGTTTCTCCTGGATAAACAAGATGTTCTGTATGTGAAACATTATCACAAAGAGAAGTATTTAATAGTTCTTTTTTTTTTTTTGATACAGTCTCAATCTGTCTCCAGGCTGCAGTACAGTGGCATGGTATCAGTTCACTGCAACCTCTGCCTCCTGGGTTCCAGCAATTCTCCTACCTCAGCCTCCTCAGCAGCTGGGATTACAGGCAAGGGCCACAACACCTGGCTAATTTTTTTTTTTTTTTTTTTTGAGACAGAGTCTCGCTCTGTTGCCCAGGCTGAAGTGCAATGGCAGGATCTCAGCTCACCTGTAACCTCTAGGTCCCGGGTTCAAGCGATCTTCCTGCCTCAGCTTCCCAAGTAGTTGTAATTACAGGCGCCTGCTATCACATCCAGCTAATCTTTGTATTTTCAGTAGAGATGAGGTTTCACCATGTTGGCCAGTCTGGTCTCAAACTCCCGACCTCAGGTGCTCCACCTGCCTCAGCCTCCCAAAGTGCTGGGATTACAGGCATGAACCACCATGCCCAGCCTATTTTTTGTATTTTTTACTATAGACAGGGTTTCACCATGTTGCCTAAGCTGAACTCGAACTCCACACTTCAAGTGATCCGCCCACCTCAGCCTTCCAAAGTGCTGAGACTACAGGCGTGAGCCACCACGCCCAACCTACTTAATAGTATTTTTTGGAATTGGTTCTTGCTCTTGATCCAAGATTTCCTAAAGTCCACCTTTCAAAGGAACTTGTGACACATACCAGCATATTCAGAGCCAATACCAACAGCCAAAATGCCTCCAAACTAAGTTATGATAATTAAATACGTTTTTCACAGAGAGAAATGGCAGGCTCAATAATAAGGTTTAGTTATATACTATATAAAACTTAATCATTCAAATGAAAAAAAATGAAATAGTTTTTTAAAAATGACATTTAAGAACAAAAACATTTATCTAATATGCTGTCTAGTTCAATTATGAGTCCAACTCAAACTTTAATGAGCAAATGATCAATAATGACTTCTTTTTTTTTTTTTTTGAGACAGAGTTTCGCTCTTGTTACCCAGGCTGGAGTACAATGGCATGATCTTGGCTCACTGCAACCTCTGCCTCCTGGATTCAAGCAATTCTCCTGCCTCAGCCTCCTGAGTAGCTGGGATTATAGGCACGCACCACCGTGCCCAGCTAATGTTTTGTATTTTTAGTAGAGATGTGGTTTCACCATGTTGACCTGGATGGTCTCAATCTCTTGACCTCGTGATCCACCCGCCTCGGCCTCCCAAAGTGCTGGGATTACAGGCGTGAGCCACCGCGCCCAGCCCAATAACGACTTCTTAAAACCAGCTTTTGCTGGGTACAGTCACTCATGCCTGTAATCCCAGCACTTTAGGAGCCCAAGACCTGAGGTCAGGAGTTTGAGACCAGCCTGGCTAACATAATAAAACCCCGTCTCTACTAAAAATACAAAAATTAGCCAGGTGTGGTGGTGGGGACCTGCAACCCCAGCTACTTGTGAGGCTGAGGCAGGAGAATCACTCGAATCTGGGAGGTGGAGGTTGCAGTGACCTGAGTATCATGCCACGCACTCCAGCCTGGGCAACAGAGTGAGACTCTGTCTCAGAAAAGGAAAAAAAGAAAAAAAAACTTTACTGAGATACAATTTATATATCATAAAGTTCACTGACTTGAAGTATACAATTCAACATTGACTTTTCCATCTCTTTTTCTTTGACAATTTTTCATAGGACATAATTCACAGAACTGTTGGCACTATTGACATAGAAGAGTGAAATACAATGGTACAGCTGTTTAACCTACTTTTAGGTGTTTTTTTTTTTATATATATGAAATCTCAAAAAAAAAAAAAAACAACCTTTTTTTTGAGACAGGGTCTTGGCTCTGTTGTCCTGGCTGGAGTGCAGTGACATGAACACAACTCACGGCAGCCTCAACTCCTGGACTCAAGTGATCCTCCTGCCCTGGCCTCCCAAAGTGCAGGGATTACTGGCATGAGCCACCACACTCAGCCTTCAGATGTTTTTTTTTAAAAAACAGAAAGATTGTTGCAGCCAAGCATGGTGGCTCATGCCTGTAATCCCAGCACTTTGGGAGGCCAAGGTGAGCAGATCACAAGGTCAGGAGATAGTGACCATTCTGGCCAACATGGTGAAACCCCATCTCTACTAAAAATATGAAAATTAGCTGGGCATGGTGGTGCCTGCCTGTAATCCCAGCTACTCAGGAGGCTGAGGCAGGAGAATTGCTTGAATCCAGGAGGCAGAGGTTGCAGTGAGCCAAGATCATGCCTGATGAAAGAATGAGACTTTGTCTCAAAAAAGAAAAAAAGAAAGAAAGGATTGTTGCACCTCTCCAAGAAAACACCAAATGGTGGATGACACCAGTGTTGCGGGAGAGGGCAGCACTGAGATGCGAAACGCGGTGGCTTCCGAGGATGCTTCAGCAGTGACATCCAGAGCTAGAGTTGTGGCCACAGACAGAGCCAGGGCCACAGAGCTTGCAGAGGCAAGGCCGAGGATAAGGAATAGATGCCTGTCACCAAGCTGGGCCAAATCAGGGACATGAAGATCAAGTCCCTGGAGATATACCTCTTCTCCCTGCCCATCAAGGAATCTGAGATCACTGACTTTTTCCTGGGGCCTCTCTCAAGGATGAGGTTTTGAAGATTATGCCAGGGCAGAAGCAGACCTGTGCCAGCCAGCATGCCAGGTTCAAGGCATTTGTTGCCACTGGGGACTACAATGGCCATGTCGGTCTGAATGTTAAATGCTCCAAGGAGGTGGCCACTGCCATCACGGGGCCATCATCCTGGCCAAGCTCTCCATGGTCCCCATGCACAGAGGCTACTGGGGGACCATGTAGCCCCACACCATCCCTTGCAAGGTGACAGGCTGCTGCAGCTCTGTGCTAGTGTGCCTCTGTGCTGGTGCACCTCATCCCCACACCCAGGGGCACTGGCATCATCTCAGCACCTGTGCTCAAGAAGCTGCTCATGATGGCTGGTATAGATGACTGGTACACCTCAGCCAGGGGCTGCACTGCCATCTTGGGCAACTTCGCCAAGGCCACCTTTGATGCCATCTCTAAGATCTACAGCTACCTGATCCCCAACCTCTGGAAGGAGACTGTATTCACCAAGTCTCCCTATCAGGAAATCACTGACCATCTTGTCAAGACCCACACCAAAGTCTCTGTGCAGAGGACCCAGGCTCCAGCTGTGGCTACAACATAGGGTTTTTATACAACAAAAATAAAGTAAATTAACCCTGAAAAAAAAAAAAAAAAGATTGTTGCAAGCCCTGTCAAGTTCAGAGAAGCATATAAGCAATGGAATGTTCAAAGTTGTATGTGAACTACCTGAAATGTGGGCTGCAATATCTAGCTAGATTTTTGTGGAACAAACATTTCCACCAGTAGACTCCTCTACACAGAATATTGGCAAATGGAGCACAAGCTAATGAGATTAGAATGTGTACTTCAGCAGTAACTTGTGCCTGAAAGGGTGATGATTCTGTTGTATCACAAAATTACAGATTTAAAGACAGCAGAGCCTACCTCTATTCTAATCAATAATTTTCCTATAGGTCCATATCAAGTAATTTGGTAGTAGAGGTATAAAAGAAAACAGCCTAAGTCATTTTTCATCTAAGCAATTCTATAGAGAAACTCTGAAGTAATTACTGATAATTTTAATAATAATGTATAAGTTTACTATATATTAAATCCATTGTTCAAATCAAAAAAATACTGAGAAGTTCTAAGATCATCTTGGCAAACTCAGGTATTATTTAAAATCTGAAAAGAAAAACAATGAATCTTGCAGCCTCAATAGATATATTTCACATTAGGACTTAGCAAAAAGCACTGTTCACAACTTTATTAAGATTTCAACTTAATAAGCATAAACACTTGCTAAGTTAGTTGAGTTATTCAGGATTTCTCAACTGTACAGAGTAAACTAAATAGTCCATATTTAAATATCCTACAATAAATATCACGGAGGGGAAAACATTCAATGGATCATTTGGAATAGTAAAATTCAAAGTGTTAACATAGAAATGTTCATCTATTCTGAACAAAGCAAGAAGATAGGGTAAAGAGGAAAGGAAAATAAGATACACAGCTGAGAGAAAACAATATGTACTCACTGGTCGAGTTGCCTTGCATCTGAATGATGCATTTGGATTCCTTGCTGGTCTCTCGAGAATTGAAGGGCCTTACCCGGACAGCCACCTTCACTGAGGCTCCGGACATTTTAATGGCCTTGTTATATGTATGCAGTCCAGAAATAAAGAATCAAATCTTCTTTTGAAGTTATATCCAAGTTTACTTTAAAAAGAAAAAAATTCCATACAAGGTAGTCAGAATTATAGCAAGCATGTGCTAATTTAAGTATAAGAACTCTATCTTAGTTCTATTTCTGTTTCAATTTATAGTTCTATTTTGTTTCCATTTATTCTTCCCTTTTCTCCCATGCAAATCTTTTTTAGAGACAGTGTCCTGTTATGTTGCCCAGGCTGGTCTTGAACTCCTGGGTTCAAGTGATCCCCCTGCCTCAGTCTCCCAAGTAGCTCAGACTACAGGCACACACCACTGTGCCTAGCCCCACCTACAAATCTTATGTTGCTAACAGTAGATTATTAAATAGAAAATTAAAGACTAAAAGTTGTTTTCCTTTTCTACTATCTCTTTCTTATACCTAAAAAGTCCCTACTTATTAATAAAAACATAACTACAAAGTAACAGGTCGCTCTCTCTCTCTCTCTCTCTCTCTCTCTCTCTCTCTCTCTCTGTGTGTGTGTGTGTGCGCGTGCGCGTTTCTGGATAGATCTTCAAAAATATATGAAAAACACAAAATGCTTATTTGCTAAAGAAGTTCCTTAAACAGGTAACTTTCCATCTGTAAACCACTTACCACTTTTCTTTAAAGAATTGCATTGGGCCAGGCACAGTGGCTCATGCCTATAATCCCAGCACTTTGGAAAGCCGAGCTGGGTAGATCACTTGAGGTCAGGAGTTCGAGACTCTTGAGGTCAGGAGTTCACCAGCCTGGCCAAGATGGTAAAACCTCATCTCTACTAAAAATACAAACAAAAATTAGCCAGGCATGGTGGTGCAAGCCTGTGATCCCAGCTACTCAGGAGGCTGAGGCAGGAGAATTGCTTAAACCTGAAAAGCGGAGGCTGCAATGAGCAGAGATACCACCACTGCACTCCACCTGGTCAACAGAGCAAGATGCTATCTAAAAAAAAAGTGCACTGAACTCTCTATACACGATTTATAGTTTCAAACATTTGGTTACATGATGTATATATTGTGTAATTATATAGCAAAAGACAAAGAAACTTTCTAGTCAATTCCTTTAACTATTTAGTGATTTCCTTTAACTTCAAAGATCCCTCAGATATGTCACTGACTCATGGCAGAGTCAAATCCATTACATTCCACTACTGAATGAAATAATAGGAAAAATGTGAACATTTTTTAGAGGAATAGTTTCCCTCCCCATAGAACAAAGTCAACACTACTGTGTAACAAGAATCCAAATAAGTAACTTTTTTTTTTTTTTTTGAGACAGAGTCTCACTCTGTCACTGAGGCTGGAGTGCAGTAGCGCCAGGTGATTCTCCTACCTCAGCCTCCCGAGTAGCTGGGACTACTGGCATGTGCCACCTTGCCCATAATATCAGCTACTCGGGAGGCTGAGGTGGAGAATCATTTGAACCCAGAAGGCAGAGTTTGTAGTGAGCTGAGGTCATGCCACTGCAATCCAGCCTTGGTGATAGAGTGAGACTCTGTCTCAAAAAAAAAAAAAAAACAAGAAACAACCAATTTTTCTTGTCAGGAGAAACTCTATGCAATAAAAAAACTTTTTCAAGAATAACCAAACAAAAGAAATATCTAAAAAAGAAAAGTATTTACAAATACAATTATCAGGAACCCACAACAGAACTTAAATCTGACCAATATTTTTTCCAGATAATTAGGAATGCTAACCTCCAACTACACAACACTGTAATCAATGTGTTCCCAAGAAAAGAAAAAACAAAATAAAAACCAAAGCCACTCTCCACCTCAATGCCCTACTGTCCAGGCTGGAGTACAGTGGCACAATCATGGCTCACTGCAATCTTGAACTCCTAGGATCAAGCAATCCTCCCACCTCAGCCTCCCAAATAGCTGTGACTACAAGCACACACCAACACACCCAACTAAATACTTCATTTTATTTGTAGAGACAAGATCTTGTTATGTTGCCTGGTCTGTTCTCAAATGCCTGCCTCAGCCTCCAAAAGTGCTGGGATTACAGGTGTGAGCCACCACTTCTGGCCCCTTATTTTCTTAACAGCATCACTGCTATTTGAAATTCTTGGTTTTTGGAGCATGCCCATTGCCCAACTCTCACACTGTCTGTCTCTCACTCTACTACCAGAAAGCTCAGAGATCTCATGTCTTGTTTGCTAGCATTTAGAACAAACAATACCTGATGTAAGAGCTCAGTAAATGTTGAAGAAATGAATTAATGAAATGTATTTCCCAGTTGTGAGAATGATCTGTTGAAATCCTTTGCCTAGTTTACTGACTTTTTTGTTTTTGTTTCAAATATTTACATTTTTAATATTAATCTTTTTCTATTTCCTACAATGTTCTTTCTAGTCTGTTTACCATTTTACATTAAACTGATCGTTCACCGGGTACGGTGGCTCACGCCTGTAATTCCGGGACTTTGGGAGGCCGAGGCAGGTGGATCACGAGGTCAAGAGATCAAGACCATCCTGGCCAACATAGTGAAACTCCATCTCCACTAAAATACAAAAATCAGCTGGGCATGGTGGTACGGGCCTGTAGTCCCAGCTACCAGGGAGGCTGAGGCAGGAGAATTGCTTAAACCCAGGAGGCGGAGGTTGCAGTGAGGGGAAATCCAACCTGGCCCCTGGCAACAGAGTGAGACTCTGTCTCAAAAAATAAAAATAAATAAAATAAACTGATCGTTCTTTAAATATCAAATATTTTTGTGATCACATGTATCAAATGAAACCTTAGCATTATTAACCTTCCCAAGCAATGTAGCATGACTTATATCCATTAGTTTAGTAATAAGCCAAGAGAGTGAATGAAGCATTCAGGAAGAGCAAGACATAAAACACACTGCAACCTCCCAGAATTCCCTTTGAAATACAGCCATCATCTCAACTCTCCTCATGTCCGAAAACCCATTATCTTCTCCCCTAAACTAGGAATCTCTGCCAATCTTCCCTTGTCTATCAATAGCATTCTCCCAGGCCCCAATACCATAAATCCTGGAGTCATCTTTGTCCCTACTCTTTGAAACCTTGTATTATTACCAACATTATTCATAAAATACCATACAGAAATTTTAAGATATGAAATTGCTTTATTCTATCCCTCCCTTCCTCTCATTCCAACTGACATTACCTTAATCCATGTTCTTACTATTACCTAGGTTATTTGCAGTAGCTGGAATGTTCTTTGAGCTTTTAGTCTTTGATCCAATAGTTCTTAAACAAGGTTGTACAAAATAGAATGACAGGAGGGTCTTTTGAAAAACAAAAGAGTCTAGACTCCCCTAGTCTGGTATTCAACAGTTTTCAGACAGGCCCCAGTTGTGGATTTGTTGGTGTGGTTTAATTTTCAAAGATTAAGTTACAAACATCCAGCTAAGAACCACTGCTTAACCCCATGGCAAGATCACCCCTCCAAAGCATGACTTTTTCAATGTCACTTTCAATTACAAGAATGTTCTCTTGTTCCTAATATGTTAAAAAACAAAAACAAAAAAAACTGCAAATTGATTTTTAAAAATCTAATCTATAAATTCACAAGTTTATGATACTTTTTTTTTTAAAACTTCATTAATAGATGATTGGTTATAGAGAGAAAAAAATCATTATTCTGAAAACAGCAAATAAAACAGAATTAAGTATACATCTAGTCTGTATAGCCTGTATAAAATATTCTAGTATAACCAAATAGTCAATGAGAATAAGTTTTTTTTTTTTTTGAGACAAAGTCTTGCTCTGTCACCCAGGCTGGAGTGCAGTGGCGTGATCTTGGCTCGATGCAATCTCCACCTCCTGGGTTCAAGTGACTCTCCTGCCTCAGCTTCCCAAGTAGCTGAGGTTACAGGCGCCCACCACCACGCCCAGCTAATTTCTATATTTTTAGTAGAGATGGGGTTTCACCATGTTGGCCAGACTGGTCTCAAACTCCTGACCTCAGGTGATCCACCTGCCTCTGCTCCTCAAAGTCCTAGGATTACAGGTGTAAATCACCACGCCTGGATGAGGGTTAAGTCCTTCACGAAAAATTCTAGCTAATAAATGTAGAAGAAATGAAAGAATTAGAATGTTACTTTTTCCCAACCCTTTTTTTTTTTGAGACAGAGTTCCGCTCATCACCCAGGTTGGAGTGCAGTGGCACGATCTCGGCTCATTGAAGCCTCAATCTCCAAGGTTCAAGCAATTCTCCTGCCTCAGCCTCTCAAGTAGCTGGGATTACAGGCGTACAACGCCACACCTGGCTAATTTTTGTGTTTTTAGTAGAGATGGGGTTTCACCACGTTGGCCAGGGTCGTCTCAAACAAAAGAAATATACAGCTTAGTAAGTATTCTTGCCCCACTCCCCTTAAAATAAAAATGTTTTTAAAAGCCAAGCACTGAATAAAACCAAGGTTCAGACGTGACTCCCAGTTTAGAAGACATAAAGGAAGGAAAGAAGCAACTCAGATGACACATCGAAGACATCAAAGAGGTAATAAGGCAAATGTAGAATATGAAACAATCTACAAAACAAATTAGCCAGTTTCTTCAAATAGCATAATTGGGGAGAGAGTGTTATAAAAAAGACTTGCATTATTTATCAAGCAAGTATAATGAGTTTTCAATCAAGAAAAAGTGTAAAATACTTTTTTTTTTTAGAGACAGGTTCTCACTCTGGTTGCCCAGGCTGGGGAGCACACTGGTGTGATCTCAGCTTACTGCAGCCCAACCTTCTGGGTTCAGGTGATTCGCCCACCTCCACCAGTAGCTGGGATTACAGGCACACACCACCACACCTGCCTGGCTAATTTTTTGTATTTTTATATTTTTAGTAGGGGCAGGATTTCACTATGTTGCCCAGGCTGGTCTTGAACTCCTGCACTCCTGCAATCTGCCACTCAGCCTCCGAGTGTTGGCATTACAGGAGGGAATCACCATGCCTGGCCTAAAAATAAATTTTTTAGATAATCAGGGTAGTCTGAAGATAGGCTGGGTATTAGATGATATTAAGGAATTTGTTAGGGGATGACAGAACAAGATTGCCAAAATG